AACCTTGACTTGCTTTTCGAAAAGCTCCACAGATACGGAGAAGACGATGATATTCTACACATTAGCCCCGCAGTGGCCTCCGAGATCACAGCAAGAGGCCATTTAGCGCTCGCATGTTTGACCCAGTCAACAGCTGCAGATATTTATGTCAACGTCCAAAAACAATTAGTAAAATTGACATAACTTAGAAACGTCAGTAACACCTAATGTCTGTTTCGTGTCTCTTTTGAACGTGAAGGAGTTTTGCTACACGTCATGACCCTGACACCTGACTTGACGAGGTCGGTTTATAAAAGCCGTTTTCACGAAGGATTACGGCGTAAACCTTTTTGAGGTTTAACACTTTTCAGCCTTTATTTTATAACTACACGCCCTTATCAGCAATTTTGGTTTAGAAATGTTCCGCAGGGACTTAAAAACATGTTTGTAAGGATGCATATGTTGATAAAATAGCGGTTGGTGGCTAAAAGCTATAAGACCATGCTTTTACGAACAGGCTGGACACCAGATCTCTTCATACCACAACTCTTCAAATTTTAAGTTTTCGGTGGCACGTCTGACGCAGAAGCAACAAAACAAAGCCCCGACATCCGTGTAGCGTCCCTGTTAACAGGCATGCAATATTTACAGAGCTTATTTACAGATTGAACAGAGCTTGCTTCCGGTACTTCTAGAGCTTCTTGGGCTTGCATACCTGAACATGATCCAAGATGAATGATCCCTGAATGAAATTATCCTCCATCCCGCCTTGCTCCACAAAGCACCGATGTAAATAAGAATGGGGCAGCTGGCATCTAACGCCTCCGATCGGTGCGCTCATCTATCCCTGTAGATATGAAAACGCCGCTCGTAAAGAAAATCTGCTGTAAAGCTCCAATGAGAGACGTTCTCTCGTGGATCTGCTAGGTAAGCGAACTACCAAACGTAAATAACGCACGCCGCTCTGCGTCCCTGATGGGGTGACAGCGTAGTCGCAAGGGTGTTGAAGTGAGCTCGAATATCAGAATGCAACGGCGATGGGCAGTGTAAGCGCTTTGAGCGTAGTCACACTCCAGGTTCTTAAAAGTGCGCGGCTCTGGTCAGAGCACCACCACCAAATTCCCTCAAAATAGGTCCTGGGAATCTGGAAAACAGGCTTTTTGTGGCCTATCTGGATCAAGAGTGAAGACAGTAGAGACAAAATATTACACAGTCACCCCTAAATTACTCACACAAATAAACCCGGTCAGACCATGAGTGTACTTTTAGAAGATAAGTGGGGCGAGGAGGACTGAACAGTGAAAAATATCTCAGTTACCCACAACTTGCACCGGCAATTAGGTTTCCCCACGGCATTGCCCGACTCTCTTCCCAAAGCTTGTTGCGATGGGAGTGAAGATGGAGGAGGCGGAGGTGGGTCACAGTGTTGGCACCCCTTTCTGCCTTGCGACTGTCGCAGTTCGGCGACCTGGCGCCGGCGTAAATCCGGCTGTGCCCATGGCATGCCGTTGTTCAGCACACCATAACCCCATGTTTGAGACATTTGCGTTTTGTTTGGGGGTGTCTAGTACGCACCGCAAGACGTCAAAACATTCGTGATGCCGCTCGATGCAGGTAACCTGGCAGGTGTAGTTTTGCAAGGTAAGTTGGTGAGCTAAACATTCAAAGTTCATGAGACTGACCCAAAAATACGTGACCAAACGTGTTTTCCACGGATTTGGCCAGCCTTCTTCGCGAAGTTGAGGAGATGTGAAACATTTTCAATTAATGTCGTTTATTTGCCGCATCCTGACTCGTTCTGGTCTTGTTCCGTTCTGCTTATATGTCGACAGCGCCGAGGGCAACAGCACCACGAGTTTTGGCTTGAGGGGGGGGGGGCAGAATTTTCCAGGGGCCTACTGGACAAAATAGGTCCTTCATACAGGGAGGAAAGGGAGGGAGGGGGGCTCCCACGCGGCCTCGTATTCAAGAGGGAAGGGCACCGAGAGCATGCGCCCCTTATTAGACTGTTCATGTATCGCACTCAAGTTCATAAATGGCACCAGTGAAAAAAAAAACAAAAAGAGCATGGGAGTAAACAAAACTTCTAGTGATCTAGCAAAGGATCTAACCTAAAGCAGGCCTCCGGTTTCAGCAAAAGGATCTCCCGATGTATAAATTGGCTCTTAATCGAGAACGAAATGCTCCCAGGGCACGAAGGGGCCTCTGAATCTAGCCAACGGGCCTCGCTATCTCAAAACAGGGCACCCTGATTAGGAACCGCGGCCATCCCATGCATAAAGCCTTATGTTCCAGAAAGGGGCCTCCTGCATGTAGAGGGTGCCTTCGATACCAGAGGAGGGCACCCTAGTTTGTAACGGGAGCTTTCCGAACCAGCAAAAGGTCCCCCTCTACACGACATTTGGCCTCCTGATCCAGTGTTGGTTACCTTTTTCCTTGAGGTAGCTTCAGAACCCAGAAAACGCGTCCCTTGATTTAGCTAAGGATACTCTGTGTTAGATTTAATACTCTCTAGCTCAGTTATGGGGGCCCCTTGATCTGAATTTTGGTACTCTACGTGCGGATATAATTTGCCTTTAGTTGAGAAAAACTGGTGGCCACCCAAAACGTTTCAGGGGGAAAACATACTTATAGCGCCCAGCCTACATGCAGGGGAGTAGCTCTACCCCCTCCCTCCCCCCCCCCCCCCCTGTTGCGTCGCCCCCGGCCAGCACATACTTCCTCACGCTTGTCACTTCCGTGTTTAACGCGTCTATGGCATGTGCGTCAACGTTGTGCTTATAGCAGTCAGTCGTTTGGGAGTAAAGTAAAAATGTTTTTCTAATTTGGTAGCTTTGTGGAACATTTTTGTCAGGAGTGCCGTTTTTCTTTCCACTGGAATTGACACGCGACTTGTCACATTGCTGATTGCCAGACCTAGTATTTTCCCAGAATTTGGATGAACTAAAGGCATGCGTTGAGCAAATGCATATAACGGGTCTCGTTTGATATAACAAACTTATTTTTAGTTAGATACATGCGGTTTACAAATTGTATGCCACTGAAATTGCGTGCAAGCAATCGTTTCCTTGCCATAGTGCTAAGTATATAATACAACCTCATAGAAGCATTTCAAAAGATTAAACTCTTTATTGCGTTAATCCATCATAAAAACGGTTCAATTTTTTTTGCATCATTTTATGCTGGCTAAATTTGTCTTAACTCCTATCATTGGTAGTCTGCATGTTTGCAACGCGCGCAAAAACGCATATTTGGGTGCATAAATGCTTCTGATTCTTTGAAATATTGTATGCTCCAATGTTTTGTATTCATCCAACTAAATCTTTTTTATCTATTCAAACTCCTGCTGCTGCAAATTCGGTGCCTCCAATTAGGACTTAACAGCACGACGGAAAATGATGCTCTTGCAGACAATTCGACCTGTGTTCTATAGCTTCGACTGCTGCACCACCAGTTACATCGTTTTAGTGATCGGGCTAGATCAGGTAAAATGCATCTGTGTTTAGCTTAAATGCATTGGTTCGGTTAAACTAATTTGTTTCGGTTCAGCGCATCCATAAAGGACTGCTAAATGACTACATATTCTTCCAGGACCATAAGTCCAGTTCATGCCACTCATCTGCACATCTTTCCCTGGAAACCAGACTGTTCATCATTCACGAGGGAAGCGAATAGTGAACGGCCATTCGTTTCCCTCATGGATGGCTGTTCCGCTCAGGGAGCGTGTGTGCTGGACTTCCACCTCAGGAAACCGCAGACGGCTCAGCACGTGGCATTGGAGCCAGGGACTTGGCGACGGGACTGACACCAGCGCTTCCAGGAACTTGGACAATGTGGTTTCCCTCATTACCTCTTAATGACTCCAATAGTGTGTTGTATTTTAATATCTGTTATTACGGGGTGGTCTGGATAAAAAGCAAGCCACGTTTTATTCAACAGCTGTAAGTTAATTCATCCCACAATAAAGACTGCAGTGACATTCAAATTTACGTTCAATGACACAGCATGGCAAAACAATGGAAGTCGTTAGTGATCTCACATCCGTCATATCGTGACTCTAGAGGATGTTTCTTTGAAGACGAGAACGAGGATCCTGTCAACACCAACTAGGAGCGCAACATCGCCTGCATTCCTGGACAGGCCTCGGGCGACTTCACGGAATCGATCGGAACCGGAATTGGCTCAGCAGGACGGGGTAGCAGCACGCACGCCACGAACTTTGCTGGGCTGGTTGGAAGAGCATTTCCTGGGTGATAAATTAGCGTGGGGACTGCCGTGCTGTGGCTTTCCACTCGCCGGAAATACCTCCGATGGCCCGACGGCTTCATGCTGTGGGGTTACCTCACGGACCACGCCCTCGTGAACAAGCCAACAAACGGTCAAGAATGAAGTGCCGCCTTCAGGCTCGAAATGGGATGCGTCGCTGTCGACAAGGTCCAGTGGGCGGTTGACCACCTGAAGCAGGCTTGGCTGTCGCACACTTCAGCCGTCATCCATCTGGAGCATTTCCTGAAGTTACGCATTAACGGATGTGTTATCACTGATGGCCACTGCTGGCGATGACCGCACTGTGCATTGTATTGGCGGTCGAACGACGCAGCAGCGGTAACTGTGCGACGAATACTTTTGAAACTGCTGAACAAAATTTATATTTACTTTTGAATGGGTCACTCTTTGCAACCGCAGATCCCGCCAATCCAAGCGGAACACACCCAACGACAACGAGACTAAAAGATGCCGCTTCTGGCGGATTGTCAGGGCTCACAGCAACGAAATCAGCCGGGCGGAGCAGCTCAGCACTCAGCCGCTTGAATGGCCGGCAATTGGAGCGGCGGCGGGGTTGGGGCGGCCGTGCGGCCGGCCTGGGTCGGTGCGGGGCGGCTCCAGCCGTAATCAGGAAGCCGTTCATCGGTGCCGGCTGGACTAGGCCGCCGGTGGGGGCGCTACCCACCAGAGCGGTGGCGAGTGCCGGCCGCCCCAGACCCTCCCGCCGGCAGTGCCACTCCGCCCCCACCGGCCCAGCGCGGACGACACGGCGCAGCACGACACTGACAGCGACATACGACGCGGTGGCAGCAGCAGGGGGAACAGGGGGAACAACGCCAACCGGTGCGAGAGTAGCCAGACAGCAGGAAAGGACAGCACTACTTCGGAAGCATCGGCGAGAAATCTTCCATATCCTGCAGCTCCAAGTCACACAGCGGACTGTTTTATTCTAAACAACGCTCCAGAGGTCATACGGCGCTATTAATAGACAGCGCTACGGCACACGGATAGCACTGTCGATACATCCTGGCAGCAGTCAGTTCTGGCAGGAGGCGGTACTGTTATCACGTTTGGTGCCAAGACGCGAGCAGTGCTGTTCCACGCGCCGAGCAGGATACACCGGAAGCTCTTCTGTTAACGGTAAGTCTCTCGCACTTCTAGGTCGGCCGGAGCTTGGTTGTTAGGCCCACTAGGTGAGCCAGAGCCTGGTTGTTGAGCCTTCAAACAGCAATCACAGTTTTTCGCCGTGAGCAAGCATGAAAAAACTCATTTTGAGGCATGCTGTGGCCGTTAAAACATTTTCTTTAAAAGAGATACGTGAACATTTCTTCACCCCTTCACGAGAACTCACTGCGTGAAGTTGTGTACGTGTATACGCCATTGGCCGATGCGCTTCCGGACGATGCAAGCACTTAACTCACTTGTGATTCGGGGATCGGCTGTTGGAAGACTGCTGCCGGCCGTACTGCAGCGGAGGTAGACACCGCGACACCGCACCCGCCGTACTGCAGCGGGGGTAGACGCTGCGACACCACACCCGCCTTACTGTAGCGGGGGTAGTCACCGCGACAACGCACCCGCCGTACTGTAGCGGGAGTAGACACCGCGACACCGCACCCGCCGTACTGCAGCGGAGGTAGACGCCGCGACACCGCACCCGCCGTACTGTAGCGGGGGTAGTCACCGCGACACCGCACCCGCCGTACTGTAGCGGGAGTAGACACCACGACACCACACCCGCCGTACTGTAGCGGGAGTAGACACCGCGACACCGCACCCGCCGTACTGCAGCGGAGGTAGACGCCGCGACACCACACCCGCCGTACTGTAGCGGGGGTAGTCACCGCGACACCGCACCCGCCGTACTGTAGCGGGAGTAGACACCGCGACAACGCACCCGCCGTACTGTAGCGGGAGTAGACACCGCGACACCGGACCCGCCGTACCGCAGCGAGGGTAGACACCGCGACACTGCACCCGCCGTACTGCAGCGGGGGTAGACGCCGCGACACCACACCCGCCGTACTGTAGCGGGGGTAGTCACCGCGACACCGCACCCGCCGTACTGTAGCGGGAGTAGACACCGCGACACCGGACCCGCCGTACTGTAGCGGGAGTAGACACCGCGATACCGCACCCGCCGTACTGCAGCGGGGGTAGGCACCGCGACACCGGACCCGCCGTACTGCAGCGGGGGTAGGCGCCGCGATACCACACCCGCCGTACTGCAGCGAGGGTAGACACCGCGACACCGCACCCGCCGTACCGCGTCGTAGGTGGACACCACGACACCACTCCTGCTATCTCGAGGCTCCAACGCAGCTGGATTAAACTGGAACAGGGAACTTCGCTCACTCACGATGCAAGAGCTCGGACTCCAATAGATTCCGCCTTCATCTTTGATGGAACACTAGGTAACGAGGCTCTCGGTTTCTTTGCTCAGGTTAAGAAATCCGCCCACCTCACGTCAAGTTCCACCGCCAATATTTGATTAGTTTGCAATTTTGTAGAACAATGGGGATGACAAAGTGCCTAAAATGTAATCCTTCTGGTGATCAACTGATGTCTGACATCTGACAGAGACGTAGCTGGCCGAAATGTTAGGTAAATAACAGCACTAATGACGAGAAACTCCAATCATCATCGCAATTTGTCTCTTTGCACTTGGATATGCAATGTACCATGTTATGTGGAAAAACCTGCCATCGCAACATCAAGTTGCGTCACATAACGATCATGCCCGCTGTAACATATAATGATGCACTACGCAATGCTTTTGAAATGGTCCTGCAATGTCCTTGGTATGCATAGACAGTTGATTAAAACACCACTTTTGTAATAATTTCGTTCATGGACTAAGCTCTGTAAAAGTTTCAGAAGATTATGATCGCTGATGCGTGTAGCAGTACGTTGAGAAACATTGTGTTTTGGCAGTACACGCACGCTCTGAGGGCACTCTTTAATAGTTGAACGCCGTCATACAGGTCCTCTTTGCAAAGGTTGACGGCGTGCCGTATTCGCCGTGAGATACCAGACGTGATGAGTAGGCTTTGGCTCGATCAGATCTAACCTGATAAGTTTCGGGCAAATATTCGGTGGTATAATTTGCATTTGAATTCGGCTAGTGAATAGACAGGCACTAGCTACTATTGTCTGAAATTTGGCGAACATAAAAGTTATGATGCACTTGGGACTCCTTGTAGTTTTGTAGTTAGATTTGTGCCAAGAAGATTTCGTTAATTGTTACGATAACCTGGTGTAGGAACCGATTATGCTTGCGCTATTTTTATGCACGGTAAAATAGGCCGTTTAACATGTCACCCAATTTGGTGACACGAAAAATGTCAGTTTTCAACGTAATCTATTAGGACCAGCAGTTCACAACACTGGATTAACATCTTCTTCAGAGCCGTTTGCGTACCCCGTTTAAAAACTGGCGCATGCTATCCAGCCTTGCCCTGCAGGCCAACACCGGGCTCCATTACTCCAGGTACAGGTCCAATGTACGGGCTCGATAATCCACGCATTGTAGACCCATTCGCCGGCCGGATGGAAACGGGTCAGACATTCGGTCCAAAACTCGGATTCGGACGAGATTAGACTGGAAGCTTTCTTCAACTGGCACCGATTGAAAGGATTTCAAACTAGTAAAATTGAAACAAATAAGTAACTGGTCCTTGAGGTACCTCATTGACCTTGGCCCGAGGAAGTCTGCCTTGAGGTACCTCATTGACCTTGGCCCGAGGAAGTCTGCCTTGAGGTACCTCATTGACCTTGGCCCGAGGAAGTCTGCCTTGAGGTACCTCATTGACCTTGGCCCGAGGAAGTCTGCCTTGAGGTACCTCATTGACCTTGGCCCGAGGAAGTCTGCCTCGCAATATTTTGAGCTGGCTGAAATTTGAAATCAGGAGCATTTTTGGCACACAGCGTTGCGAGAAAATATGCGCTTTTGTCCACTGCTTGATCCAAGACATCAAGCTAATCCACTGCCAAGTCGGGCGTTTCGCCGTCCCTGAGGAAGCTGGCCAATAAACCAGCATAACTTAGATTCCAAATCATTTTTCCAACGCCAACATAGTCAGATGAAAAAAACACTGCCACTTTTACGCGCCTCCTGGTCTTTGGCCGCGTTGGACAAACACTCTGTCATGACGGAAATGGCATTACGTGGCAATCACGTCCCCATTGGTTCCCCGTCCATACCAAAACTTAACAGCATTATGACTGGGCTTAGAAAAATGTTCTATCGAAAAGAAAGTATCTTATGAGTTTGAAGCACACTAAAACTTTGTATGCGTAGTTGAACCGCATTAACTGACGTATTTGACATCTTCAACTGAGTGGGAGACAGGGCGTTTGATGTCACTCCTGAATGCCTCCAGAACCACTGAGTTGGTCAACCTGATTTTTGAGCCTAATATACTCCTGGATCGTATGACCCTAGCACACGTAAATTTGGTGACCTCACTACATTTATAAAATCATAGGTGAAGTGAAAATTCAGGGCATCATGTAACTTGCCGTAAGTCTCATGAGTATTGAAACTTATCGTGATAATGCAATTTAATCGAATTTCAGCGAGTGAATGAAGATGCCTACCACATCCAAAACACACAGCTATGCGCGGTGATTAACCCTGGATTGTCTAAGGAAAGCATTTATGGCGTGCCCTCAAATATTTCCGTGTACACGTTAATGGGCGTACAAAGGCAATGGCACGCACTATGAAAAGCATATAACTGAAGTGCGTGCAGAATTCATGAACCATCCTTGTGCCTCTTTTGTGGGTACATGAGCTCTTTATGTTGCCCGGTAGGTCAAGCTCAAGTGTGACTTAAGCTTACGCGTAGAATGGGTTGGCCGCTAGCAAGTGAGTGACACACCGTGCGGCTTATTGCCAAGCCACACTCCCAAGTCATTCGTTTTCAATCGTCAGAGAACATGCATTGGGAGGTACCGAAAACTTCAGATCCATAACGCTATTTGTTCAGACTGTGGCCGAAAACTACATGGTGTTGTTAACCCCCCCCCCCCCCCCCCCCACCACCTCCACCCCCACCTCCCCTCCCGGCACCGAGAAATAGCTGGTCAAGTCAGAGTGATGAGGAAATGCAATTCGTTCGCAATGTTGCCCTAGCTCATCCGTTGTGGAGTTAGCAGATGGTCGTACTAGCTACACCATAGCGGACAAGGCAATTAATGCCAAACAGTCTGAGTGCCATGTAAGATTTATTAAGATTTGATGTCATGCCATTAAGATTTAATGCCGTGTAAGATTTATTTCCTTTGGACTCGACAACTATCTGGACAACACTGAGCAGTTGTTTTCCTTGATTTAACCTTGATTTTGGTCATGCTGGAACTCCCTCCCTCTGAGGTCCTCGTAATACGAGGCCTTACAACAGTATGTTAGAACTCGCTATTGGCGAAAATCACCTTAACTCGAATGTAAGCGCCTGACTCAGACTTATGCTAACTCAGAAGTTAACAACAAAACGTCTAATAGTGCCCATGGTTACTCCACAGCCTTTACCGCGGCCCGTCTTCCACTGCCATGGCATCCCTGTAACTGTGACTTGACCTCGGCAACATATCATAGTTTCAAAAATACCGATTATTGTGTTTGAAATTCCAGCGCATGTGGAAAAGTTACACAGCCCAGTGCATATGCAACGCGTGCTCAGACTTGGGCATCGCGGTTGCACCTGTTCGGCGAGGCGGTTGCCAGGTCCCACTGTGCCGGCCAGCAGCCGGACAGTGCGGCGCAGCCTACCACCGTCGGCCGGGACCGCCGGCGCGCCGTTCGATGGCGCGCGGCTCGTGAATTGCTTATTAGGGAGGATCGAAGAGGGAGGCGACCGGTGATTTTCCCTCTCCCTCTCCCTCTCTTCCCTGGCTCTTTCTCTGTCCGCTATATTTTTATTCTGGTAGGCGTAAAAAGGGTGTCAAAAACTGCTGCAGAGCTACCAAATGAGAGAACTCTTCTCGCTGGGCTTCTAGGACCGTGAAATACCGGACGTAAACATAATACGCCGCTACGGGTGTGCGGCAGGGTCGCAACCAAGACCCAATGATAACAGCGCAACCGCGCGATGACAGCGTGTTAGAAATATTTTTTATGTCAGCTCGAAGATTAAAAGGCAACGATGCTGAGCAAGGTGAGCGAAATCCACATGGAGAAACTTCGAGCACTTTCAAGTGTGCGGATCTGGCCAAATAATCACTACCGGGTCCACTCAAACTATGCACTTGGAGTTTGAAATACAAGGTGTTCTTGCCTATCATGGTCAATAATGGTGGTGAACCGTGAAGATAGTAGAAACATAATAGCACGCAGTGGCTTCTAAGTGACTCGTCAAAACAAACCTATGCAGACTACAATGGTGCAGTTTCAAGCTAGTGGAGGTGAGATGAACATTGAGAAATAACTTTTATTACCACCAAATTAGAACGGTTAGAACGGACAGGCTTCTCCACGGATTTCGCCCATTTTCTTCGCAAAGTTCGGGGAGGGTAAAGTTGGGGAGGCTGGGCTCGAAGTATGAGGGGCTCAGTGCTCAATAGGAAACTACACCCTTGCAACCTGAGATTATCGGTTTATTGTGTGCGCACTCAGAGGAAATATAAGTGACCGGTGACTTGTAAGAGAAAACATAAGTGATTGATAGCCCATGCACTGACACACCGTTTCTCGTAAAGCGGACTGATGGCGCGGATCGACGCGACAACCCTCATGCCTTTGTTGTTTCCAAACTAAGAAAGATAAAGTCTAGCGGAAAATACCAGTGGATTGGCCGCTATGACATCTCGCAGTTGGTATCATATCTGTTGTGGATATGTCGATATTTGATTCCATGATGTCAGGTCAAAGGCCCAGTTTCCTGAGCATCGAACTTGTTCAGCTTTCTAACCGCGGAACCTTCGAATGCTGCCCACCGCCCGCGCCGGCCATGGATCGCCATGGGGTGTTACACTCCCTGGGGTGTTACACTCCCTGGGGTGTTACACTCCCTGGGGTGTTTCACTCCCTGGGGTGTTACGCTCTCTGGGGTGTTTCACACTTGGGGGAACACAGGGGTGTTATATGTGCAGTGATGACGACGGTACTGATCGCTGCTGGGTGGAAAGAGGAGGCAGGGGCGGGAGGGGGGACTACAAAAGCCGAGATTCATATTGCAACTGGAGTAAGCATGAAGGCAACATCTCTTCTTGATTTATTTTTACGAATTTCCTTTTGCACATTCTCACTATGTGTTGCGCTGTGCTGTGCTACCCTCCTCTTTTCTGGCCCGTCTGGTGACGTCATCTCCATTCCTGTCCTAACTTATCTTGTCTGCTATTATTCTCCCATGGTGTCGATAGTCCAGTGGTTAATGCGTCTGCGTAAGTCGCCTTGCGCCTGGGAAACCAGAGGCGCGCGGCTCGATTCCCGCAGCACCCGCCCTTTCTGCCAGGGCGAGAGGCAGGCGACGCCATAATTTAAAATGTCATTTCCAGCTCAGGCTATTTCTTCTAGGTTCCAGCCTCACCCCTCCAGACCTGATTGTCCCCACGATCCAAGGGTCGTGGTTACGGGCATGTCTAAGAAAGTCAGAAATTGTCCATAATTGTACCAGTCATGTACGCTATGTTAAATATGCTTTTCAATGCCTGCTTTCAATTTTTTTCATTTTTTTCTTGCGTGTTCCTGGCTTGTTTTTGTTCTGTTTCGTTTGCTTATATGTCGACACCTACTTTTTCACGCAGGCCGCTCCCATGTTCAGTGCATATTTGTTATGCTTGTCAATTTTGTATTTACAGTAGTAGCTGCCGGGGAATACATTAAGGAAACTTCTCTAATTTGACAGCTTTGCAGCACATTTTTGTCAGAAGTGGCCTTTGTATATCTACCGGAATAAATAGGCGCCAAGCTGTATGCTGACCAATTCTCCAAGACGTAGGACAAAACAAAGCACTCACTGTGATTCATTTTAGTGGGTGCGTGGTTGCACTAACTGGCAGTTGCGAATAACGCCAACAGCACCTGGAGGAAAACAGATGGATCAGTCTCCCATCCCCTTAAACATGTCCAGACTTCTGCGGTTCAGCAGTGACATGTTCCACGATCAGAAAACTCGAATAGCTGTTACGGTGTAAGCGAACATCTTGCTGCAAAGAGAACTATTGTAACTCATCTTGAAAGACACGAAGGCATACGGTAGAGCGCATCAATTCTGCAATAATATATTTTACACGGACGGAAACTTGGGCGAATGTGAAATGGTGTCTTATGGAGTGGTGTATTATGGAATGATGTGTAATGCCATTAGCGCATGATACAGCTGAACTATTTTGTTTAGAACCCCAGTTCCTCTCATCAGCGTTCACCGTCCGTATTGTCTGCATGACTGGATGCTCGAAATAGGTATCGACAGTGTGTAATATGGACTCGCAAATCCCTCCGTATTGCAAGACTTAATGGTCAGCTGACGTTCCAAATGAGTATATACAATGTAATGAAATAATAATGAAATTAAAAAGTAATAAATTAAAAAGCAATAATAAAATGAATATATATGATAAAATACATGCATACACACACACACATATACATATATGATTATATATATATATGGGCTTAGAATATATATATATATATATATATATATATATATGTATTCTAAGCCCAAAACTATCATTTGGAATTTATCACATAGCGCGATGGCTTCCCTCGTGCTTGTGCCCGAACCAGGTGCCGAAGATTCAGGGGAAGAATGTGCACAGGGTCCTGGTTCGCGTCCCCGTCGCCACTGAGGCTGACAGCGGTCCGTCACCGCTCTGTGGTCGTGTTGTGCCCCGGGGCTCGCCACCGACCGGACAAAGGGGGCCGGCTGGCCACCCCACTCACAGACGGCGCACGGCATCGACCGCGCGCGGCGGTGTGCACGGCCGGCGCCCAGTGCACGGACGCGCGGTACACGGTGAGGAGCGCCAGGCGGCCCCGGCGGCGCCCGGTCCCGGGCCAGAGGCGCGGCTCGGCGGCGACGACCGGCGGCAGTAACGACCGGCGGCGGCGCCCGAGCCCCCCCCCCCCGCACCGATCGGGGAACAGGTGGTGTGAAACGGTGCTCTGACTTTTTTGGAAGATGATTTGAATGACGCGTCGCTTCATACAAAAACGGGCTGGCTCACCATGACCTTCTGATGGAGCCATGGCTGGACGACGGCCAGCCGCTGACATTGGCGACGTTCCTTTCCAGTGATGGGCGGGCCTTCCACGGAGGCGGACGAGGCACGCGCCGCTTGTCAAGTCCCGCTGACCGGGCAGGCCGACCCGGAGGAGGTCGTCTGCACCACAGGTAGCTTTGAGGCTACAGGCCCATCTTCTCTCCAGTCTTCGTCTTCTTCGTCTTGTTCGTAAATTCGTGTTCGGACCAGTCTCGTGTTTCAGTGTGTGTGGCGCGGGCACCGTCAGGTGTAGATCCATCATGTGTCAGTTCATATGACTTATCTGATATGCCTGCTCAGTTGGAGTTGATCTATAAGCGCTTACCAGCCATTTATCATTTGATGTCTCCCACTTTTAGTGTCTTTTCAACAGATGCCAAATGTTAACACACGTCAAGATGGCCGGTTGAATACCCTTCGCTTGGGTGGGGGTCAGTTTGACCCCTCTGATATCTCAAAAAAACTGATCCAGCTAGAGACACTAAATTCACGGGCTGGATTGGACTGTATGTGAACTCACTTATGACAAAATGTGAGGTTCTTACACCCTGATTTTGGAGTCAAATAAGGTAAAAAAGATCAAACCCCCGATAAATATGCCAAGTGCCCCCAGACCTCCTCATAAAATGGCCGTGAACCGAAATACCTGTTCTAAGCAAAGGTCAATGGTTTTCATTCAAGGTTAGTGAGCTTCTTTGACCTAAAGAAGGGGTGGTTCACAAAAACCTATGACATTTCTCCTATTCTGTCATTCAAATATGTGTTATGGAATTTACGGTAGGCGGCATGTCCCGAAAACAAAATGTTGGTCTGAGTCATTTTAGGTCAGTGACATACTCTGGCCTTTAAAAAGGTCGTGGAGCTTGCCTGTTGTGGTCCCTGTTATTACTAAACTCGAAATGAGCGCCAGAAACTACCTAATGAAGTAAGCTGTCGAATACAAAGCGAGTTAGTGTTGACCTCGGTCTGACTTTTATGCCTGACCCTAGGTCAATGAAATTTGCTGTAATTCTGCATTTCATTGGCTAATTGACTAAGAAATTGTCTCAGAGCCATGTGGCTTCGTCTAACAATCCGCTCGCGCACCAGATTTAAAGATTTCATAGAAATAGCCTTCGCTGATATTCATGGCCTGACTTTTTCCTGCCATAAGTCGGCAGTCTTACCAGGTACATCTAATTTTGGCACCAAACGATTCGTTATTAAATTGCCCACAGGTATCCAAAGTTTGGCGCTGCTACACTGCGCCATTCAGAAATCATTCAGGAAAAACCTTCGTGGGGGAGGGCAATTGCTTTTCACCCGAGTACGTGCCCATCACTTCCGTGAAAGTAGGCTGGTGGTTTTATGTTGTACATGTTTTAAGTTATTAATGTGAATGCGTTCTGCTTCCAGGCTGTATCAACAAAAGAACCATTGTCAAGAGTAGAAACCTGCTCAGCTATTGGTGAGATTCAATTTTTATCTATGTTCGAACTGGTTTAGAAAACTTGTAGGACTTCTTCATATATATATATATATATATATATATATATATATATATATATATATATATATTCTGTATATTTGTATAAGTGTGTGTACTGAACGAGGAAACGTTTTGCAGCTGAAAAGTAGTGACCAAGCAGTGGACACTTCCGGCTCTCACGTGGGGGCACAGGTTCGAATCCCGGTCACACCAAGACCCCTAGGCGCTAATGCTTTCCCTCTAGTCGCTGACGCTCTTTAAAAGGGTGTTTGATAAAGTGCATAGCGCTCAAAGAAACGCCAGCTGCAAGTGTTTGGTGTGTGCAGCTGCATGTATTTGATACTCTGTTGTAATGAACTATCGCCGTACTGGTAATCGTCAACTGCCAGAAGGAACATTGCATGGCTTCCAACGGCACATCAGTCGTCTTTTTGGCTGCTTCTTTTGGGAGTGAGATGATCTGTGAAGATGTCTAATAGTCGTTTGGTGAGGATTCAAGTCCGAGGAATGTAGTTCAGCTTGGCGTCATTTCACCTTCAGTGATGTGGGTCAGACCACTGTGTTGCACGTGAACAGATTTAACGAACACTGGGTGATTTGTCGCCACCATGCAAACGTGCCAAACCATGGTAGTTGGTCGCCTCGGCTCTGCCTCTGCGACAGATCTCGTCCCTTAATTGGGGGAGGATGTGTCAAGCGTTGACCGACGGTTCTTACAAACTTTGACGAAAGAGCAACCAGTACTGCAACTCATTCAGAGCAAGGACCCGCCGGGGGACCCGTAGCCCATTCCTCGTTTTTTCGTTGCCCACGTTCAACTGGACAGCAACTATGGTTTTAGTTACGGGTAATATCAATAGCGCTGCGTAAACATTAGGATTTATTTTGCCCACACCTGTCATGCCAAATGTTTCATAAAGGCCTGTTTCGGTTATTTAGGGTGTTTCCTAAACCAGCGTGTAATTTGAGATGGAGAGACGTGCCCCTAATAGGAAAATTTGCTTTTCTTGCAGCAGTTATGTGTGTTTTGAAAAGTGTTTTGATGCCTTTTAGTCTTTACGAAGCGCACTGCCAATACGTGAGGATTGTTTGCGCTGTGTGCCGCGGCCGCTGCGCCCAGCCGGGCAAAACTGGCTGATTGTGACCCGACTTGGATAGTCAAAACACGTGCCATTTGGCTCGGGGTGTTCGCTACCCGCCACTTTAATGATGGTCTTGACTGCAGAGAAGAATCGCAAATATTGGGTTTAGTGATACATGAAGCAGCTAAAACAGTTTCGCGGCGGCCCACGTCACGCTGATTGTGGCGGGAATGATGATCTTTTGGCCAGGAGCGCACGCTGAAAACTTGTTTAAGATTCTGCTCTCAAACGGTGGTAGACTTCGGAGGTTTATGTCTCTGTTTAGCCCAAGGTTGGTTCGTCAGCTCTGGGTTTACCGTCACATCTGGGTGCGAGGGCGGGTCCAGGGTACCATGTTTGTGGGGGCCCACCGCGAATACCGTCCTGGTGCCGAGCAATTCTCAAAAACCCAGTGTAGAGAGGCGCTTTCATCGTCGTGGGATTATATCTCCGTTGGCCGGCTGGGCAACACCGTGTTTGCGTCAATCACGACCAGTTTTTTTACAGGATCCTGGGATTTTGCAACAACTTCACGTACTGGGTGTTGATCACGGCCGCCGTTGACATCCTGGCGCGGACCGGCGTACCGCAGTGAGTCAGAGATCAGTCAGGGTGGTGCCCGCTCCAGCCGCTGACGCGCCTCAGTACAACCGAAGCCGCGCCATTGCTAATCGTTGCGGTCACCTTCGTGACCTTCGGGCACGAGCCGCGCGCAAGCGTAACGTAAAGTTTTAATGTCATATCTGAATGAGCGGCAGGACTGACTACGTAGGCTACTGCTGCAACTTTTGCTTCCTCGTGAGTAATTGGTGTGTTCCGCCATGGACCGTCTTGCGTGCGGCAGGCCTCAATGACGGTCAGGGTAAGTTGGTCTGATCGGCCCCGGCCACCTCTCTTTCCCTGGCCAGCAGGCCCCACTGACGGTCAGGGTCAGTTGGTCTGATCGGCCCCGGCCACCTCTCTTTCCCTGGCCAGCAGGCCCCCCTGACGGTCAGGGTCAGTTGGTCTGATCGGCCCCGGCCACCTCTCTTTCCCTGGCCAGCAGGCCCCCTGACGGTCAGGGTCAGTTGGTCTGATCGGCCCCGGCCACCTCTCTTTCCCTGGCCGGCAGGCCCCACTGACGGTCAGGGTCAGTTGGTCTGATCGGCCTCGGCTACCTCTCTTTCCCTGGCCAGGAGGCCTCGCTGACCCCGGCGACCTCAGTATCCCCGACCTGCTAACCTCCACAGCCTTCCATAAGCGCCAACAGACACTGGTGAGCGCCAGTTGATCCCAATGAAAGCTAGCTGACTCTGGTAGGCGTAAATTGACCCCGGTGAGCACCAGTTGACTCTGGCGAGCGCCGACAGAGCCCGGCGCATACCAGCTGACGCTCGCTGAGTCGACAGAGCCGGAAGACGGCCGGCGCCGGCGTGTACACGGCGCCGTACGACAACTTCACAGAGGCGTCGCTGGGCACGCGTGAGATGCGCCTTCAGAAGTGCCAGACCACCTCCACCGGGGTAAGTCTTCCGGTCGGCGCAAACACCCACCGCTCGCCGCCCTGATAAAACAAACAGCCACCGCGCGCGGGAAGCTAGCGTCGCGGCGATGCAGACACCGACACCATTTTTCATCTAAACTGGAGCAGCGTGACATCCCCGCTTGCCGAGCAGTGCGCGTGTCGCGCCTGCGAGCCGTCTTCGTGTTTACCGGCGCGAGCATTCATTGCCCCAGCTCAACAGAACGACTCCACTGAGCCATCAAGGTTCAATGGAGACCGAGAGGAATGTGGAGAAACGACGCTTGTCGCAGGCGAAGGACAATAAACATCTGGGTGGTGGGCTGTCTGCCGTCGGCTTCAGATCATGCTCCGGCGCTAAACAAGCGCGAGGCGACGGAGGTGACGGATGGTGGTGGGCCTGCAAACCTCGTACCGTCTGTGTCAACCTGACCTCCAAATAAAAAAACAACGGAGGCTTGCGATTCATTGCCCTCCCTTGTTTGGATGAGGCTCAGTGAGATAAAGGATGGTGTGGTGGTTTATCACTTTTTGCGCTGTCGTGTGTAATTTTACTTTTTCCTAACCGGGAAAAACATGGCCAAGTGAAAGCATGTCAGGCGGATAAAGGCAGGCTTGCAGAATGCCAAGTTAGACATGCCTTACCACATAACAACATGTTATTCCCGGTTCAGCCTACTTCAGTTGTGCTCATCACTCATTCTATATACAAACATGCACATGCATACTGTTTGTTGCGGTTTTGGGATCATGACTGATTAGTAAGGCAGTTAAGATTGGTGGCTGACGGATTTCCGATGACTGATGTGACATGTTGATGCCATTACAAGCACCTGCTGATCTTAATCCTTCACTTAAGTGGACTTTTGGAACGGGCCCAAGAAGTGTGACCATCTTTTCAATGACGGCCGCCTCCATCACGCAGCCTTGACCCCCGCAGAGGACACGGCACCATCACAACCTCATCACTTGATTACGGTGGTGTGACTTCCGTGTGGTCTCAGCTTTCCGTGACCTCTTTGTGACCTCATCACGCTACTGTCGCCCCAAGCGACCACCATCTTGGAGCCATGACCCTTTCTGACCTCTGGTGCCATGGCCCTTATGTGACCACTATCACCGTGCTATGACCCCGCATGACCTCCATCACCGTACCGTGACCCCTGTATTAGCATCACCGTGTCGTGTCACGTGCTTGACCTTTTTCGCAGTGCAATGACCCCGTATGACCTCTGCCACGTCGCCCGTGACCTCCGTGTGATCCTCAGGCGCTACTGGTGGCCGAGACGCTGCCAGCCGCCTCCATCACACTGTCGGCGCTGTTTTTCCTGCGGCTGCCGGTGAACGTACGCGTGCTGCTGGTGGTGACTCTCTGTCTGCTCAGCTACCTGACGCTGGCCTTCTCGGCGTACGTGTGGCTCGACTTCGCCGGCGTGCTGTTCGCCTCCGTCAGCCGCGGCCTCAGCGACATCACCTTCCTGGCCTACGCTGGCCAGTATGAGAGGTGCGACAGGGACGGCGGGGGAGTCGGCGGCGCCGCGTGCAGCATCGACCGGTCGCTCGCTCGTCAATCAGCACCCTTGGCGGGATGAAACCACTGGTAACGGGGTGACGCTAGAGAGGAGCCACACAACCCCCCCCCCCCCTGTGCCACTTACCATTGACCGACCAGCTTGGTTCCAATGGACAGTATTCAGAGGGTGCACTTGGGGGAAAGCTGGCTCGCATAACCCCTTCCTGTTGGGGAACATTACATAATGCATAGGCTGTTTAGACTCCGGATTGAGGTATACGTATAACAGTGCTGAGATCCTCTCCACACAAAACTCTTGGTTGCACGCCTGCCAGTGTTGACTGTCCATGGCTGCTCAACGGCAATCACACGTGATGCTTTAGTTGACCTACCGTTTCCTTGGTAACGTTATTGAACTTTTGTCCTCTGCCTCCACTTTCCTGTGGCCTGCCCCTTTCCCGTAACCCCTCCGCTCCGTTCGGTTATCACCATCTCTACCTTCCATCCACCTCCGTCTCCTCCTCTCCCCGTGTTGACAGGTGACAAGCTATTTACCGAGCAGCACACGGAAATATAATGCATTCTCCAGCTTTCAGTCACGTCCGCCAGTCTTGAAAACCGGTGACGTCCAATGGGTCAGCCGTCATATGCTGTCGTTTCCAGGGACGTGCTATCCACCTGGTCGTCGGGCACGGGCGTCGCCACATTCGTCGGTCCACTGCTTTACTCAGGCATGACGTCCACCGGCCTGTGAACCCGCGGCGCGCGCTGCTCTCCATGGTGTTTGTGCCGCTGCTGATGGGGCTCAGGTTAGTGACACGGCTGCAGTGGTGCTTCCTAGGTATCTGTGCCGTTATTGATGGGTTCAGATTAGGGACAAGGCTGCAGTGGTGCTCTCCATGGTGTTCCAGATGGACAGAATGTTAGGAGCGATGTAGTCGGACAAAAAAAACAAACAAATGGAAACAGGGGCTGGGTTTCCATAACCTTGTTATACAGTATATAGTAAACGCACACACCACACACACACCACACACACACACACACACACACACACACACACACACACCACACACACACACACACACACACACACACACACACACACCCACACACACACACACACACACACAACACACACACCACACACACACAACACACACACACAACACATATATATATATATATATATATATATATATATATATATATATAGATAGATAGATAGATAGATAGATAGATAGATAGATAGATAGATAGATAGATAAATAGATAAATATATAGATAGATTGACAGATAGCTAAATCGACATATAAAACTCACATTAAAACACGAATCCCATTGTTCACAAACGTGTCATTCTCAAGACTTTTTCTGAGAACACGCAAGCAGACGAACGCTGGAACGACGCCTACATGAGCAGACCTTACTCTCGGTCTCTTGTGCGCAGCCAGACCCACGTGCCGCGATCGTTTCCCGCATTATTTTTCGCTGAGGTTCCTTGTCAATGCTCCTGATCGCCTGCTGGATGTGGCAGTGCAGTTGCCACAGTATTTCTGTGGCCTGCTCCCTCTGTGCACCTGCTGCTTTATTCGGCCCCAGAAGTCATCTTTTCAAAGTCTATCGGACGCAGCAACAACCGGTAAACTTCGATGACGTGATTTTTGATAGGCCCTTCTCCACCGTTTTTGATACTCCTCTCCACCTTACGATTTTGTCACAACGATGCCTTCAGGGTATGTCGTCGCGCCTTGTAGCTGACTTGATCCTGTTCCAGTGTTATTTACAAACACCATAACCTGCCTCCCGTGAAAAAGTCTGTGAAACATGCGTCGACGATGTTAGAATGGTGCTTGGCTTAAGTCGTCAAGTTCTATAGTTTTACCCGTCACAGAAAGGGATGAATATGCATATATAAGTATGCATACATGTATATATATGCATATATGTATACATATATATATATATATATATATATATATATATATATATATATATATGCAATCACTCATGCCAATCCAATCACAATGCAGCCAAGAAATGCTACTGGGGCCACGACAGCAATACTTACTTAATTCATTTCCACTCCCATTTTTGTAAACTTGGTGGCGTCCTATCATCACATACCAGTCAACGCTCAAAGGCATCCCTGCAAGCGATCCGACGTCGCTATTTGAAATGCGTTATCGTTTACTCCCAGTGTGCCAGAAGTCGATTCCTTCAGCAACTTGCCCAGTACCTATATGGGGTCACCATAAAGCCGACCAAACGTAATATGGAGCGGCTTCAAGGTCATATTATTTTGGGGGTTAGAGTAGACATCGACAAGGAAAGCCGCATTTCCCTTTGCTTTTCGGCCTGTTTGGAAG